GTGTGTTTGGTGTGAAATTGTAACACTTAATACTAAATACTACGTAGCTTCAGTATATCACCCACCTGACCCCATTTATCCTGAGACTGAGTTACTAAATTATTTGTCTGAAACTATAGAACAGATTCTTTATCCTGAGCCCAATGCAAGAATAATTTTAGCAGGAGACATTAATCAATTCAAAACAAAAGACCTTATCAGTCAGCACAACTTGGAACAATTAGTCAAGAAGCCTACCCGAAATCATAAAATTTTGGATGTATTTTTAACCAACTGTCCACATCTTTGGGAAAAATCAAAGGTTTTTAAAGGTCTAGTAAGATCTGACCATTTGGTTGTCATGGTTTCTCCGCGACATGCTATAAAACCCGAAAGAAAGGATGTCTACTTTAGAGACGTAAGAGCTCATTGGAAGTTCAGTATGATGAGGAAATTGGAGACATGTGATTGGAGTCACATTCATAATTGCAATAATGTCAATGATACAGTAGTTACTCTATTAAATGACACTATCACTAACATGTTTAATGACTGTTTCCCGTTAATTAAAGTAAAAATGTCAACACGTGACCCACCATATATGTCTCCTTTGGTCAAACACTTATGTAAGATAAGGAATAAGAATATAGCGAAGGGAGTCAACAATGATCTTCAAAAACGTATTGATGAGCTAATTCGTGGAAATCTTGTTCGTTCCGTTGATGATGAGAATAGAAAAAATAGTTTTGGATCCAAAAAGTGGTGGGATACTGTGAATAGAATTACTGGCAGAAAAAGCAAGAACAGCAATATTAGCTCAGTCATCGATCCACAACACATTAACTCGTACTTTCAAAATGTAAACACGGATGCGAATTACATATCCCCCCAACTCATACCAATTCCTGTAGGCACTCGAGTTCCTACCATTGATGAGCCTACTGTTATAAGTTTTTTGGCGAAACTAAAATGAACAGCGCCAGGTCCTGATGGGCTTCCATATTGGCTATGGAAAGACTTTGCACAACTTTTAGCGCCCATAATTACCAAAGTCTTCAATCTCTCAATCGAACAACAATGTGTCCCTCTGATGTGGAAACTCGCCAATGTGAACCCTTTACCCAAAGAATCTCCTTTGACAGAGTGTAATCAGTTGAGGCCTAGATCGCTCACAAACATCATTATGAGATTATTTGAAAGGGTAGTTTATAAACAGGAGATTGCGTCTGCATTCAAATCCGTGATCGGACGAGATCAATTTGCTTATAAAGAGGCCGGAACAAATACTACCGATGCTCTGATTATGTGTTTGCATCATTGGCTCAAGAGGCTGGATGAAGGTGCAGACTCTGTTAGGGTAATATCATTTGACTATAAGAAAGCGTTTGACTCGGTATCTCATAACATTATTTTTGAAAAATTGAAAACACTCGAAATTAACCCGTATACTATAAAATGGATTATTAGTTTTCTGGCCAACAGAAAACAAAGAGTTGTTGTTGATGAATAGAAACATAGAAACTGTTTATGTTGATATTAACAAAGACGTACCGCAGGGTACGGTTTTGGGACCCTTTCTATTTTCGTTGATGGTTAATGATATAAAACCCATGGATGCGCAAAACAACCTATTGGTTAAATTTGCTGATGATATAACGACAAGTGCTCCAGTAAAATCAGGATCGTATTCTGCTGAGGCTGAGGTGGAAAGCATTCAGAATTGGTCGGAAGCAAATCAAATGACATTAAATCTTTCTAAAACGTGGGAAATGGTTGTGCACGGTAGGTCTATGAAACCGTTACCGGCACCGATTGTAGGCATTGGACGAAAGAGCTGGTTGAAATTATTAGGTGTCACATTTCAGGAAAATCCATGTTGCTGGGATCTTCATATCGATGATCTTCTGTCGAAGGCTAGTGGGCGTATGTACATATTGAGAGTGCTATGGTTACGCTGCAGATCAGCTAAGCAAATTATTCGATTCGCTAATCATGTCACTCTTTTACTATTGCATTGAAGTGTGGGGCTCTGCACTCCAAAAGAAATATTTGGATCGTATGGACAAGTTTTTCCGGCGGGCTTATCGTTATGGATATACGACAAATAGTATTAAGATACCTGAAGTGATCGAGGAGAGAGACAGAAAATTATTTAGCAAAATCGTATCGAATCCAGAACATGCATGCCCTACATGAATTGCTTCCTGTGGGTAAACAAAGGATTTTAAGACAAAGGGAACATAACTTTATTTTACTCAAATTAAAACGGAACGATTTAAACGATCCTCATAAATAGATGTCTTTTTAACTATTTTTAAGTTTCATATAATTAATTAGGACAGATCAATTTTTTAACTGTAATAAATAGGAATTTGACATTTGTAAAGTTGCACGTCTGTTGTGACTCGAGACAATAAAGACCTTAATAAATAATAATAATAAAAAAAGCATATATAAAATTGATAAAAGAACATTTTATGAAGCGTCCAAATGACCAAGGTTGAATTTTACATTAAATTGAAGCTTCTAGAATGCACAATAAGATACCTTCAAACTTCAAAGTATATTTTGGAAACTATTATAGTTCCATCATTAAAACTTAAAAGTACTAATATTTTAATTATTTTTGCTATTTTTGCAAAAAATAAAAATAAAATGATCGTGTTACCATGACTACCTTGATGCAAGCCGGCGTTCACTCACCTGTTTGCTAATTTGAAATATTTCATGTTGTAACAATTCTTGGGAGATAAAATTGTTTGGTTAGAAAGGTGAGGGGTTGCTGCATGCATGTATTTGTAGTTGGCGAGTATGTTGCGATTAAGCGCCAAGTCAATCATTCACAGTGACTTATTGAGACGTTGTGCTTTTAGGGCGAGGGGGCTATACCAATATGCATGACTAATTAAAATCGGTCCCCATCTGACAAACAAGCCCTCATACATGTACATGCCCGAAATAAATATTAATTCGCACGGAGTTATAATTATAAAGGCCACTGGAACCCCTACTAAGACTTGTAATTCCTGTTGACCTCCTCTACTATGAGTAAGGGCCATAAAATTGTATATGATTTATTTGAAAAGTGAAGATTCTCATCCCCCTCCCCCATTCTAAAATGAAAATACGTCTTATTGTTTTAAACAGGCACACCTGTCAAGTTAATTGTTGGAATTACAATGGGCTTGTTCATCCTGATCGTGATCATACTCACAGTTTTTTTAGTACGCAGAAACATTAAGAACAGTCCAAAACGAAATGTATTGGTTCAAGAAGATGAACTGGATACTGCTGTTTAGAGAAAGCATTTGCAATGAAAGACTCTTACTTTCTTATTTACTTTGTTGTTATTGGTCCCGTTAGGACCAATTTTGTTTTGGTCAAAGTGCTGTCTCTAGTCCATAGAAATAATAGATATAGAATGCGTACTCCTATCTTTTCTCAGTGAAAAATTTGTCTCCACAAAATGGCGGATTTATAAGGGCATTTTGGTTCCAAGACTCCCAGGCGGCAGGGAATTTCAGTGTGAATTTCGCGCGGTTGCAGAGAGTGCAAATTGTTTTTTCAAATGCAAAGTTTGCAAAAATTTTTATATCGAGACTTAAATGGAAAAAAAAGTGTCTAAAAACCCATTCTAGTGGGCTTTTTTACGAAAAGCAACAGTTCTGAACAGAATATATACAGAAATCATCGTTTAAAAATAAATTTTCAACGTTGTTGTGCAAGCCAAAACAAAACCCGAAGGATCAAGACAAACTCAAACTCAATAGGTATGTTCTATAAATATTTCAACTTTTTTATAATATAATATAAATGAAGTTCAGTAATCTTTTTAAACTTACACAATTACTTTTCATATTTTTCTGTGTTGCTTGAGCTTGAGGCAACGCTTTTGAAACCATAGTTTTCGACGATTATTTAGACAATTTACAGTCTATCGACAACTAAATATTTTTGTTTCAAAAAAATAAAAACCTTCGTTTACATCAAAGAAAAACGAAACCCGACGAAGAAAGAACTATCATTTTGTAATCTTATAAGATATTAGCAAAACAGTGACAGTAGTGACGTTCAAAGCATGCAAAAATGTTTTATGAGTAAATTTCGAGAAACCGGCGAAAATACTTTGTTTACAAGGCTGCACGATTGAAACTCAAAATCTATCCCCAAACTACAAATTAGACAACAAGATAAACGTTTTGACGATGGAAACGTAGTTTTAGCTTTGTTTATATTTTGTAGTTTGCACTCCTAGTCAAATTCAAACATGGCGGATTTATAAGGGCACGCATGAGAAAAAGTGGAGACATGATTCGTGATCAAGTACGCATTCTATATCTATTATTTCTATGCTCTAGTCACTGAGTCGCTCACCGGAATTCGAATCGGGAATATTGTAATCACCTGATATTTTAGAGCCCTTATATTGTCTTATTAAATTTTGTATTTGGCTATATATTTGCTAAATGATAAGTAATATGAACAGACATAGTTGACTATGTAAAGACATACTTTAAACTTTTACGAACCACCCTTATACAACACCGCGGAAAGCGTCTGCGCATGCGCGTGTACTAGAAAAAATGGCGAGGAATTTAAATGCCAAATTGTAGACGAAAACAAGGCTATTTGTATAGGTAATCACACGGGAAGGAGTGCAGTTAATGATTAACACTACGAGTGATATTTGAAAAATGTGCCAAAATTGCACGAGCCGCCGAGGCGAGTGCAATTTGGCACATTTTTCAAATATCACGAGTAGTGTTAATCATTAATTGCACGACTTGCCCGTGTGATTATTTATTTATTATATGCATGACAAAATCGCTTTCTTTATATTTCAACTGCATTTTGTCAAGAGTTTTTAATTCTTTTGTAAGCAATTTGGTATAAACAAACTTGGGAAATGATTACAAACTCATGAAGGCACATAACTTAAACTAGAACACAAGATTCAAACTCAAACAACATATTTTAGACTAAGAAAATCTTTATAAATTGTATTTCAAACTTACATAGTCAGGTTTCGCTGCATCCCGCCAAGATTATTCCTTAAAACTGTTTCCAGGTATTTTTCACAGGCTCTTTTTGCCATACAATGTTTTTTAAACTCATTCTTGTGCCAAAATTCAGTTAAATTCGTCCACATTTGTTAGAAACACTTATCTAAATTTCGCCGCCATATTGGATTTTGTTGTTTTGATTTCCCGCTCCCCCCAGCCATCGCGAAAATCATTAATTGCACTCCTGGAGAGGTTGCAGTAATTTTGTCATGTATATAATAAAATTATTTATGTCAAGTGAAACAAACAAAAAATACACTAGACTGGTATTTAGACATTAATAAAAAGTTTCCTAACATTTAAAATCTAAAGAGAAACAGAATTTAAATTTAAAACAGGACGCTTGCTAAGCGTTTACTCGAGGTAAAGGATTTGAAATATATCGTATTCAGCGTATTCACATCAATGATTCACATCAAATTTTACATCTTACTCCTTTAAAGTGCATTATTTACCAATAAATCGAGCGAGCCTTTGTGGCGCAGTGGTTTAGGCGCCGCTTTCGATGCGGGGTTCTTGCGGTTCAAATCCCGTATGACACAGTTTTATTTTCAAATTAAAATATTTTTTTTCAACTATTGAGTCTGATTTTAAGGTAAGGTCTTAGGAGTAGGAGTTAGGGTTGTGTGTGTGGGGTGCGTTTATTTTTTTTAAGAGAATATTTTTAACAGTTTAGCAGTTTTATAGGACTAAATTTCCTATTTATTAACTTTACGACCAAACATAAAATAGATTAAACCACTACATAATATGGTTGAAGGTATGGTCAACAGGACATGAATAGCCCCATGTGCCGCGGGCACACTGCCCGGCTGCCGATGCCGATGGAATTATTAAAGTTTGATACTGTTAGATACATGTGATGGATATTTTGAATATAAACTACCCGGCTGCCGCATGTAGACTAGTATTTTGACCAGACACAGTACTAAAATGCGGTGCCCGCCTACAAATAAAACTTTCGGCGTTTCCGCCTACATGCACAAGTAAAGTTTATATATTTAGCACGCTACACATTCTCCTGTCGGCCGCCAGTTGGTTCGTACGTTAGGATCAAAACTGTGTTTTAAAGCCTTCAAAATAAAATATTTTGAGCTCAAAATACTATCAAAATGAGGAGAAAAGTGAGACGAATGTCATGAATCCACTGGCATACGGCCGAAAACGAGAAAACCAACAATTCCGAAGTTATCAAGGATCAAACCTGAAACGGACTGCATTTTTATTTTTTAATCCCCGAGCCGACGGCGCGGGTACTAATTCCCCCCGGCTATTTACACCTGGGGAAACGAAAGCATTAGCGAAGTCTAAAGTTCATCAATTATCGCGGGCGTGGGTCACCAACGGTGTTCGAGTGTTGGGTGTGTGGTCATCCTCACTGATCTCAAAAATATGGCGGACTGTCATGAATAGCGGACACTGATTGGTCCAATTTAAAGTTTGCATTATAACGACTGCATGCCGATAGCGAAATAGCAAACATTTCTTGATTTGATGATTGATAAATTTCTTGCAAATATATTTCATTTTTGCTCGCATTTTGGCAAGATTTTGTAAATTTCAAAAGGTTTCTCAGAAACAAAGGGCGAAAGAATCGGCTAAAAGAAGGGAGCCGACGTTAACGAAGGTATTAAAGTTTGTCAACCTCGTTCCCAGGGCTTTTCCCTTTTTGTCATTCCCGCGCTTCCCAATGACAAAAAGGGAAAAGCCCTGGGAACGAGGTTGAAAATTTGTTTTAAATAATGATTTTATAATGACTTTAAAACCCGACGGCCTTTGCGTATATGAAACAACTATTACAGACAGCATATAATTTCAGTGTATCTTTAATAATATTGATTCCCTTTTTTATTATATTGAATTTTTTAAATAAAAAAGAAAGCAAAGTCATTTGCAAGCGAGAATTTCAAATCATTTTATTGCAAACTCAAAGTTTATCGATAAAGCCATTTAATTAAAGGCTGTTTTAATAGTATTTATATAAAGAACACTTTAAAACGTTTTGCGAAGCGTTTGTGGTTGAATTTTACCTCAAATTGAATGTATTTTCTAGTTAGTTTAATAATTTTGAGCGATTTGTCAACATTACAACAATACAATTTCGCTTATTAAAACTGCACATTAAAACCTTCAAAATATAATATTTTGGGCTCAAACTACTAACAAAATAAAGAGAAATGTGAGACGAATCCACTGGTATACGGCCAAAAGAGAAAACCAACAATACGAAAGTTATCAAGGTCAAATGTATTGCATTTTTAATTAGTTTAATAATTTTGAGCGATTTGTGAACATTACAATTTCGCTTGTCTTTCAAAGGCCATAAATCGCTAGAATACTGTTGTTTAGTAATACATTTGACATCTGTGAGTATAATTTCTTACGCTGAATCGAACGGTGGTATTTTGGTCCTTATTGGGTGCATAAAACCAGAGATAAGGCATAGCAAAAAGTCAATTGTGAGAGTCCGAGATTAAAATAGAAAAGAAAACTTTCCTCGAAAAAAGGAATTCGGAAAACGTGTAGGATTATTTTGAGCGGCTTGTCTTTCAAAGGCCATAAATCTCTAGAATAGAAATCAATTTTGAAATCAATGATTCGTTTCACGTTGATTCGAACAGTAGTATTTTTGTCCTTGTTTGACGCATAAAACCGGAGATAAAGCCTAGCAAGTAGTCGATCTTGAGAGTACAAGATTAATAATAATTAATTAATAAATTCCGAGCACGTGCAAGGAATTTTTAGTAGGCGATTAAGGAAACGTATTGATGCACACTAACAAACGGAGAGGGTCCTGAAACCCGAACCCGGTACTGGCCTTGAAATTTTGGCAAAATCCCAGTCCCAGTTGGATTTTTATTAGAAATCCCACTCCAAGTTACTGAAATCCCAGTCAATAAAAAACCCTTTATTTATCGGTAGAATAAACAGTTTTAAGACCTTTTAAGCCACCGCGTGTGTGCAAGTGGCGGACACTTTAGAGAGTTTGGCAACCTAGAACGGCAACCACAACGGCAACAGGGAAAATATAATTGCTTATATTATTGTATTTGAGCCAAAGTATACGTTACTACACTTAATTTGCCTCTTTAAGTATTCCTGTTTCTTTCAAACGTACCCTTAAGTAAAATAGTCCGCGAATTCAAATAAAACACCTCAAAAAACATCGAACGAATTGACTGTTGCCGTAGTCATGCACCGTGAAAATGATGCAAATCACGTACTCGTTTCAACAA